TCCTACCGTACCAACCCCTACCTCCTCCTACTCGTCTCTCTCTCTCTCTCTCTCTCTCTCTCTCTCTCTCTCTCACCCTCGCCCGTCCACCGTTCCCCTCTTCCCGCTCTCTGTCTCTTTCCCCCTTCGACACGCGCGGCTTTCTCTCGCGCGCGCGTTCTTCTGCCTCTGGAGCAACTCGCAGCATCCATCGGCCCGCTCCGGACTTCAGTCCATGTCGAGAACGCGCCACCGCCGGGACCCTAAGGACCCTTCGACATTCACGAATCCTTAGATCTTGCGAGCCAGTGGTATCGAGGCAAACTATATTTTCAAGTTAATTCGAAAGCCACGGCCAAAGTTGTTGCGCCAAATCGTCGTCGATCGATCTTCTCGGCGCAATCTTCTCAAATAAATCAGACCACCGCAACATTTATTCTCCATGATACCAGAAATTTGAATTCTCTCGAATTCTATCTTATATGCTACTACCAGCTCGACGTATATTTATTTCGATAAGCGTCTTTTGAACCGTCGAGATCCATTTACGTGCGTGACGAATCAGAAGCGCCGCCTCTGATTCCTTTCAATTCGTTTTCGTCGCTTCGGCAAAAAAAAAAAAAAAAAAGAAAAAGAAAAAGGAAAAATCCGTGTCGCGAAGAATAAAGGATCAGCCTAAAGGAACGTTTCGAGAGAATCGTTGGAATCGAATCGAGGAGATTGGGCGTTTGATGCGGATAGAAGCAAGGCGTCCAAAGCGTGATCTTTGAAGAAGCGGCAGGTGGAAGAGAAGAGGAGCCACGAGGGCCCGCGAGGAGACTGAAGAAGAGCGATTTCCCGCAAGACTGCCGGGGGTTGTTGCCCAGCCCCGGAGAAGCGGACATCAGGCCCGGATGTTCGCAAGGACGAGACGCCGAAAACGCTGCCATGCTGCAAGGGAAACTATTTACGGCCATCGACAAGTTCCTTACGACATCCCCTTTGGTTAACAAAATCAAGTTACTGATTGTAAGTATATTTTTCTTCTGTCTCTTCTCTCTCTCTCTCTCTCTTTCCTTCTGGCTTCCGCTCTCTCCTGTCTTTGACCCTCTTCTTCATCACAGTTTCTCCTCGACCTTATAGGGAAAAGTTGAGACAGTCGTTGTATCCGATTTAATTGTGTTCCGAGCCGTTTATAAGATTTCCTCTTCTACCCTTGAACCGGATGGAAACGATATTTTGCATATCGAGCCTCCATGAATCCATCTCTCGATCATTTTAATGGAAAAAATGTATTAAAAACATATATATATTTGCGGGAGTAGGGAAGTAAAATAAAATTCTTGAGAGGGATTGGAATTTTTTGAAAATATTTTTGGATATAATATTATACGTTCCATTACTTAATTATTGGAGTAAAAATGCGCAACGGATATGTTTCGTTATTCGAAAAAAAAGTACGATAGATGGATGGTGCTGGGAATAGCGAATGGAATGTTAAAAATTCGAGCAATAATCTGTATATACGTTTTACATCGTAATCTTTCCGCAGTTTAATGGATTGGAGAAAGAATCGTTTTGTTTACAGGTGGAGTGGCACATTTCGTGTCAGCGAAATGACTCGTGGAAACTTGGAATTTGTTCTTCCGAGTCATGAATACGTCCAGAGTGGCGGCTTTAATTGCGCACAATTATCTAGCTTCACGCTTATTTGGCCATCGTTGCGTCTTTTTGTGCCATCGTTCCAACTTTTTGCTTTCATTTCGCTCTTTTCCGAGCTAACTCCTCGGGCTAATCTTCGATTGTGGAAGCTTTTGCATTAAAGAATCATATTATCAGGGCTTAGACAGTGAATTATTGCGCCTCTCGTACGTAATACATTTCCACAAGCAAAAGAAATGAAAAAACCCCCGTCACGAGAGAATCTAGTAAGATTTAGTAAAATTACTCGGTTTACCGCTCGATTTAGGGGGATGGAATTTGATATTCTCTGCCAAACGTGTAATTTCATGTATGCGTCTTAGAATGGAACAATGGAATGATCGGACAGACAGTTAATGCAAATCGATGATGCTCATATCGGCGATAGCCCTTATACGCGAGCATCCCTTACATCGAGCTAAATTATATATATGAAGATGCGTATCGCTTGTTTGCCAGATAGAATAATCGAAACGGTTCGAGTTTCCCTTGTTTTAACTTGTTGCTCGGCGTACGTTTCCGATACGGCATCCTCCTAAATGTTTATTATTGGTTCCAAGTGAATTCCGTATTCCCTCGTCACTGGTAAATTCCACGCAATTCTCTGTCGGTATGTATAGCAACGACTACAAGTGGGATGATCAAAGGCGCGCGAGTGATCGCGGTTCTCTGTCGTGCTCACGACGCTCAAGATCGTATAGATTCAAGAATTTGTGCTCACAAATTTGTCGCACGTATTCCGTTTCAATTGTAATTTGACAAAATTTAATTCAGTTTTGTATCATAGAGCGAACGAAATATAATAAGGGATGATAGAGAACGCGATGATAATGCAAAAATGCTTCCAAATACTTTCGAAAATCCATCGGTTTCGAAAAGATCGCGTAAAAGAATTAAATTTTCGATATTCGTTTCTTGTTCCTATTTTAACAAGTAATTCTCGATGGAAGACTTGAGTCTGTTCGATTGAGTAGCATTTCGGAACGTTTCGGCATTGTCGGAATGGAACTCGTAGGGGTTGCTGCGTTTCTCCGCCATTCTCCACATGCCATTATCATCGACGAATGTTCCAGAGAGGTGGAAATTCCGGGCAGGCATGGTGTCATGTGCGGAGACAAATGGTCAGATCGTAGGCAGATACGGGACGCCGCCGGAAAGAATGCATAGGTGGGCATCTCGGCTCGATTTCGAACGGGCCCTTTGAATAGCAACGCATAGCGGTTACGTTCGTTGAAAAGTGGAAGGTCCGCCGTATGCTTTCGCCCGTAAAGTTCCCGTTTTATCAGTTTACGCGAGCCACACAGTGGTACGGGTCAGCCTGTCGGGCTTCCTGAACGAGATTAGCATTGTGTTGTTTCACTTAAAGCGCCGTTGCGATTTTATTAACCCTAGTTCGTATCCAATGCTTTGTCTCGCTTTCTTCTTCTTCTTTTTCTTTTTTTTTATTTTTTTATTGAACGGTATTAGATTACCATTCTGTTCGTCTTTGTCGAGTTTAAACACGTGGACACGTGTTACGTTCACAGATAGATAGAGAATAACGAGCTCCCCTCTTTAAAACTACCAAAGTTTGACTTTGCCCGAGTGGAAACTACCCTCGAGCGTGTTTTAAACATTTCATCCGGAGTACTTTACCTCTATGCCTCGATGTCACGTTCTTCTCCGTGCCAGAGATTGTAACAATTCTCGATTAAGTTAATTTATTAATCTATCTTTTACACATCGCCATCGAACACAATTTAACAATTTCCTATTAAAAAAAGATAATCTACTCGATTAATCAAGATATCGCGAAATATATATTCAAATTCTCTTAAATTCTCTATTTTTCGTCGTATCCGACGTATCCGAAATTTTAAGCGAATTTTCACATAATATCGCGCCATTTGGAAATCGTATCGCGCGATACGACGACACGCATGCGATCAATTATCAATCAACAAGCGCGTATGGTTGAAATGCAAATCGTATTCCAGGCGAATGAAATTTTGTCAAACGTCTCTCCAAATATCCATCGAAAATCTCAGCAGGATTTTCCCGCGCGTTGAAATCCCTGGAAGGTCCAGTGTTCCGTGTGCCACGCTCGTCCAATCAGTTTCCATCAATTATTCGGTTAACCGATCTGCGAATTATGACATTATAGATCCAGGTCAGTCGTTGGATTTTAATACCTCTTTCGACGGGAATACCGGTATATTTTCATCTTTTTTTTCCCCATCTGTCCAAAGTCTATCGGCCGGTGGAGATATAATTAATTAAACGAGCGAGCAACGTTAACGAGAAACGTTTGCCTTCGGTTCGATTTGGTTTCGATCGAAGACGAAGACTATCCCTCGATAATAGTTTGCACGCATTAGCCACGTGTAATTGGTCCTCGCTACACGATAGAAAGGTGTAGTAGCGTCGAGGGCAGGGATCCTGTCCGAACGTTGCGCGCAAAAACCGGGTTGGATCCATCGCGTTTCGACGATGACATCGTTCCGCAGTCACCGCAAAGCGCGCACGTTTACTTTGAAAATGTTAATGAGCCAGGGAAGTAACCGAGCCGTTAGTTCATAATTATATGACCGCAGTCTTTGAACTGCTCAAGGAGAGCCAAGTTATTAACGCCACCGGATGTTCATCCCCCTCGAATTAATGAAATGTGTATTTAGGAATTTGGGAGGAAAAATTTCTTTCGCGGTTTGCCAAGAGTGGTATGCGGGTTGGAGATTCTTCTGCCGGGTTTTCAAAATTGGAGCGCGTTTTCTGAAAAAAAGATATCCAAAAAAAGAATATGTATATATATATATTATAACATGTATGACGGTTTTATCTTTTGATTATTATTATATCGCGATTCCTGGAATATATCATTTTCTCTTTGACAGCACACTCGAATGTTCTTTCATTCATTTGCGATGGGTTTTACTAAGTTTTAACCGGTTCTTTTTATACTGGCACGGAGAAAAGGGGAGGGACGGGATTGCGAGAAGACAGAAAATGAGAAAGTAGTGGAAGGTCGAATCTAGTTAGGCAGTCCCATTTTTCGCGGTAATTTGTAAGGAATAAATGAACGTTTCGTTATTTTAATTCGTTCGTTTCCCATATATATATATCTTTATTTCATTTCTGTGGTCAAAAGAGGAATTGGTTCGTTCCAATACGTCCAACTCGATTTAATTCGTAACGTAAAAAAAAAAAAAAAAAAAGAAGTGTTTCTTGGTATAATTACGCAAAAGTATCTTTTCTATATCGAGCGAATTAATATATTTTTTGAAAATATTCAGACTATAAATCACAATATTTTATTAAAATTTATGATGGCGTTGATTTTTCTGTTTTCGTCCCGAATAAAGCAAGATACATTTTTTCCATTTACCGCTCAACGAATAATCACAAGCGTGAAAGAATGGAATTGATGAAATGTTTAAGAGAATAACATCTTCGATGTTTCTTCCTCAATTTACATGCCACCACCGTAGACATTACATATCTCGAATTCTTTCACCGAGAATCCTTCTCTGGCGTGTTATCTCTGTACAGGTTTTTATCGACTGATAATCAAAACACTGATAATAGACGTTTCGATTAGAGCGAGCACACAGTTTAACAACAAACCCCTCGTAAAAATGTTCGATTTGATCGAGTTTAGCGGCGCAAAAATGATCGACGATATATCTGTATTCTTGGATAAGACGATAAAAAGTCGGGAGAAAAGTCGAGGCGGTGTAACGTTTACGAGGACGAAGCGTTTAATTGATATCGAGTCATAAATTTCATGGATTCTCATAACCTGCCTAGGTTATCTCTTCATACCACGAAATACACGAACGTTTCGTCCCACGCGTAAATTTCACTCTTCGCGCTTTTCCGTCGATCGGTTTTGGTTTTTCGCGCTTTTCCTCCCTCAGATTTCGCGATACTTGTTCCATGGATTTAGATCCAATTCAGGTCAACAAAGATCCCGGCCCCGGATTTATGCCGAGAACGCATATAGTATAAACCGCGACGAAAATCCACGGATCGATCGAATCCCCCTCCCCTCCCCGATATTCTTGGAACTCGAGTATATCGATATTCGCCCATTTCCATCATGTTCCGCCAAACCGTACTTTCCTCTAAATATTTCGACTGTTCGAGCTCGCGTTGTAACTTCTTGCCCGCGAGTTTCCCCTTTCCCCGCGAAATTGAATCTTTCCATTTCCAAGATCTTCCTTCTCGAGACGAAAAATTCTTTCGTTTCGTATCGAAACCGCTTATCGTATATCGTATATATCGGTGAACAACTTCTTTCTTTCTTCTCTCCGTTATTATTTTTTTTCTCCCCTACGAATTTCGTTCGTAAT